CAAAGACAGCACAAGCATGACAGAGAACTCTAGCTGTGAACAGCACGTGTTGTCACTAGATAACGATAACAGATTTAACAGGCACAAGCACACAGGCACTCATTTCAGAGATTCTCCCTTTTTACTTTTAAATTAAGGATATTATTAAACGTCCAATTACATCATCAGCCATACACAACCTTTACAGCATAAAATTGCTATAATTAAATGCTAACTGTTGATTATAATAATTCAGCAAAGGAGCAATAAAATAAACAAGTACTTTTAAAAAGTTATTTCCAAAGAGGACTCAGACAGTGCAAGAGGGGGAAACATCAGACCCTCGGGCATCGCAGTGGGGCCGTGAGATGCAAGGTTCCTCAGGGCCAGGCACTGCGTCCTTCACATCTACCTTTGGCTGTCGCTGCTGCAGCTCTGCAGTGCAGCTGGTGGACAGTTGTGGCAAATGAGTGAATTCCTGACCTCGCTGTTCAGAACCCCGGTGTCACCTTCAAACTGGTCACTGGGAAAAGCAGCAGCCTGTACAGAGACCAAGCACAGCAAAGACCCGGAGCAGTCAGGCAGCTCGGTGCACCTCACACTACGTTCACACAGGTCACTCCTACGGAAGTTGGAATGGATAACAATGAAAAATTATTTACATTTGGCATTACAATAAGATTATTTTTTTGTAAAAAAACAGGATGCAGGCCATTTTTTACAAAACTCTTCTTGGTTTTTTTTTTTCTTCCAGGCGGATCTTCAGCCAAGCAAGAACTGGGCTGGAAGCGCGCAGCTCAAACCAAACGCCCTGTCAGCTAAGCATGGCTGATCATGCCTTGCTACATTACATGGCTTTCCTTTACTGAGAACAAAACAGAGTTTGTCAAAAACCACATTTCTAAGCAGGAGTAATGACCGTGTCCAATCCCATAGCTCCATTATTTAAAAAAAACACCATAAAAACCACAACAAACCAGATTAAAAAAAGCAACAAATGAAGGCCTTCTATCAGTGCAACTGGCTGTGAGCGGGTGGGAAGAATAACGCATACAGCAATGGAAAGTGGACTATAAAAAGCTCGCCTTACATAAACATGGGAGGAAGTAACCAACACCCTCAATTGTTGAAGTGAAAGGAGGAGGACCTGAATACACCATTAAAAAAAAAAAAAGTAAACATGAAAATATTGCATGTTTCACATTTTCCCAATTCATCTCGAATTGGAGAGTCTTGTTCAATTGAGCCTAACTGCTCCCTGCCGCATCTCCCTGCACCACGGCACTGCGCACTGCCTCAACAGGAGGACAGTCGGAGCCCTGTGCACCTGGGGCAAGGGATCAGTGTGCAAAGGAAGGGCCACGGTGCTGTGCTGCAGAAAAGGTGAGTGCTTCTACAGCAAACCATGCCTCCATGCATCCAATGCCTCCCCACCAGCATCCCCAGCTGCTCCCCTCCAGACGCAGCACTCTCCCAGCCAGGAGCCAGCATGGCAGCTCCTCCTATGCCAGAGACACCAGCACGTGGTACTCTGATATGCAGCAGGCACGAAGTCTCTAAGAGAGATCCAAAGAGAGTTTCCACAATGTTGTCTCCCATTTTTCCATTAAGGTCATTTTCTCTAGCAGGGAACATACACTGGCTCGTGGCATTTAGCAAAGTCATCACCTTCCAGCTCCAGAGCTTGAACTTATCAGCAACTACTGAGAGCAATGGACTCAGGTCAGAATGCAGATATGTAGGACACAGGATCTACTAATCCTTACAAACCACTCCTTCCCCAGGAATTCTCTGTATAAAAGAGCACCAAACTGACATCAAAGGAGGCAGAAGATTTCTAACAAACTCATCAAGGTTAAAAATCTTCACTCTCACCAGGACTTTCCTTCCTCAGATCCTCCCAGCACATCCACAGGCCCAGCTGCCCTGCAGACCTCCACCTCATCCCTGCCATCCCTTTCCATGCACAGAGCATCACACAAATCTGTACCAACTCCATAATGCAAATATCAAGAATGAATTCTTAGATGCTTACACAGCTCTCCTGCCTCCAGTCCTCAAGCAGTTACTTTTTTCTGCTCAGACACAAAACTTTAAGATAGAAACCGGCATTTTAAAGAGAGGGAAGCAGAAACCGCTCATCAAACGAGCAAGTTGAGCTATGCTTCTGGGTATGTATTACACTATCATTTTTGCATTACACCTACTCTACTAAATATACAGAACACTGAGCAAGTGATAGCTGTGTCAGCCACCAGCTAATCAAATGAAAAATTATTAGGCTTAGGAAAATAATAAAAGCAGAAGCCAGCTGTGCGTTTGCTGGATGAAAATCCCAGTGTCTCCATGTTAGCTCATGTGCATTTCAATTTCTGGGAAGAAAATAATGGGAGTTTCTCCACCCTTTCTCATGTGAGCCATAAAACAGATTTATTACCTAGGATATATTCTGTGTTTTCTCCTGAGGAAAAAAAGAAAGTGGTGGAACAAGTTCATTTTTTCCCTTCTACAATGAGGATTTTCTTTACAATGAACACAGAGCTAACTTTTGGTATCATGTGGCCCTCCCAGTTAATGCTCCAGTCACACTTTTTACCTTTCTAAATCTCAGAGAGCAGCGTTTTCATCTCAGTGGGGAACACACAGCTGCTCCAGCTGTCCGAGTGTGAAACGGCCGTCCTGCTATTCCTACCTGCTTTGTTTTAAAGCAGAATCCTTTCCTTCTCTAAATCAAAGAATTTAACGGCTACTAAAAAAATCACGGAGTAACTTAAAATGATAATTAAAAAAAAATGTAAAGGCAAAGCATCGCTCTGCATTTCTTTGCAAACAGTTCCTGCTCAGCTTTGCCCTTCAGCCAGCAGCCACCCAGCAGCTCTGGGAAACCTAAAGGGAGAGGTCAGGGTTGAGTATCACCTGGAAAGGTTTTCCTGTACAAATTACTTTTCTTTTTTTCTGTAACAGTCACAGTTTGACCTTTAAAAATAAATTACAAGGGAGAGAATTTGCAGACTGGAAGGATTTTACTCCCAGGACTCCTCATTTGCTTACAGCGCAACGCTCCGATCCTACGCCCCTCCGAAGAGCAGTGAGAATAAACCCGCCCTTAGCAAAGGCGGTGTTCTGCAGCCCCACTTCTGAGATGCAGAAGAGACAGACTGGTACCTGAACTCCTGAAACACAACACAGCCCAGAGCCTGCAGCCGAGTGCTCAACAACCTGCTGAGGATAAGAAGTGCCTCTGAAAACAACAGCCAGTAATACCTCCGTCCCTGAGGAGATCTGCGTCATATCTGCCACCTACCCAAGACCTACAAAGACCTGCACCCTTGATAACAGCATCTGCTCTTTACGAGTTGCTTTTGACAGCACAGCAAACCTGACATCCCACAAAGCTCCAGTTCTCTCAAACAGCCCCTCACTGTGAGGACATGTCCAGCAAAACAGCGTTAGAAATGAAACAACATCAGAAAAGCTGAGCTGTGCCATCGTTAGCAGCACATCAACAAAACGTGCTGTAGAAAGTTGTGAAACATGTATGAGTGTGTATATATATATATAGTAATAATATATATACATACACACGTATTTTGCTTAGGAAAAGCAGAGTCCACTTCCTTTTAGCATAGAGCGGTGCCAGCACGAGGCTCCAAAGGAAGCTCTTCTGCTCAGGCAAAAAATACACAGACATTTTTGTAGATGTATTTCTTTCTCATGGCTCTGTGAGCACTTCTACTGCTCCACAGAGACCAGTATTTTAAGAAAGAAACAACAACAAACCCACAAAACAATAATTAAATAGGCGTTCAAGGTATTACTAATTGGAAACCCATCATTTGTACTATCAGGTATATTGCAGTGAGTCAAACTGTATTCACGTAAAGAAAACAAATCCATCCACACTGAATTTTTGGATCAAAGTGCTACTACTGCTATGAAACTTACTTTTTTTCTATGTAAAGACATCCTCACAACCACGCAATCCTGTGCCAAGGTTCAAACTCGTACAAAAGTCAAGTACCACATAATGTACTACAGCTTAGAAAAGGTGTGCAAAAAGTAAAAAGAATGTTTTTTAATCCTCTCTAGATTTGCCTTTACAACCCCAGGAATGTAACGCACACCTCTAACCCAACCTGCCCACAGCAGCACCATTTACTACAAAGCACACAGAGTCACAGCAGGTATTTTCCACCACAAAGGCAATGCTTCGTAGGTAAATACTGGAAAGCAAGAATTTTCAGCTCTGAATTCCCACACCTGCTAATTAGCAACAACTGACTGGTTTGCGGTTCTCACCACTACACTGAAAGGTTATTGCAGAGAAATAGTACTCGAGATAAACATGAAAGCATGCAAACGCAAAACACAACCCAGCAGATGTATGTGACAACAGACACCTCTTCAGAACGTCAGAGCGAGTCCTAAAGGTTTCACTGCAAAAAGACACTCGCTGTATTCTGAAACGACCAGCAGGTTCCGGAAAGGCGCGGTGCATGCAGACCACAGATCTGCTCTGCACTATGTTAAATTCTAATGCTTGAAACTGCAGCTGTGAAGCAAAACCAGGCTGTTTGAAATGAGAAGCTGGCAGCTATCCCAGCGTGTGCAGAAACGTCACTTCCATCTGCAAAACCATCATAATCGACTGATAACGGCACATCTGAAGGAACCAGCTTAGATTACCTGACCACAGGATGTTGTTACAGTGACGAGCCTGCCTGCAGACCAATTAAAACCTTAACAGAAATCATTAAAAACAGGTTAAAATACTTCAAAAAGTCAGTATTTTATTTAAAATGTACCGATATGGACAACAAGAAGTACATGTGCCCCCAGCCCTACGGCTCACACACGGGCACACACCTCGTCCTGCCCAGGCAGGCAGCCGACGGGCTGCAAGGAAACCGCAAGTCTCCAACAAACGGCTGCAAAGGAGCACTAGGACACCCCGACTCCGATCCCTCACAGCCTTTATTTCTTCCCAGAGCGCTACCAAACAGCACGCCCTTCTCTTTTACCTTATTTATTTCAAAAGTTGTTGGATCTGGGCACGAGCTGACTTTCTACCGGAAAGCGGCACGTGAAGGAGCCGCACAGAACACGTTCGTCACTTCCACGGCCGCCACTCCCGAGCCGTGCCGCCGCCAGGGGGCGCAGTGCGGCCATTCGGGGGCCCGGCTGCAGCGCAGCGCGCGGAGCTCCGCGCCCTCAGCTGTTCGCAGCGCTCCGTGCCGGCACGCGCCGACGCCGGCTGCGGCGCAGCGTTACCTCAGCGGGATTCCGCGGGGCTGCGCTCTGCACGGGCGGGAGATCCGGCCCCGAAAGGCGGGGTTCGGCTCCGTGCCCCACCTGCGTCCGCGCGGGTTTTACTTGAGCTCGTTCGTTACCGCTCCCTTTTAAACGCCTTAAAAAGACGCACTTCTGGCGGCTACGAAAGCACCGGCCCAGGGGCCGCTCCGCCGCCTCAGCGAGACAGAGCCGCGCCCTTCCGCGCAGGACGGGCGGGCGCTGAGCGAGGACGGCCGCCGTTCCACGCCGCCCCGCAGCCGCTCCGCCGTCGTCACGGCGACGCCCCGCGCAGGCGCACTCCGCCTCCCCCGAGCCGACGCTTCCCGCCCGCCCCGCCGTCTCCGCGCCCCGCCGCCGTCCCTCACCGAGCGTCGCTCCGCCTCGGGGTGGGGGGGTGGGAAGCGAAACGCCGCCGATCCAGCGCTCCCCCGCCGTACCTGGGGCCTCTCCTGGGAACGGGCACGCGCGGAGCGCCGCGCGGCGGCAGGCCGGACCCACGTGATGCCCGCGGGCCGCTCTTAACACCCGCCGGGGGATGGCGGTGCGGTGCGCATGCGCCGAGCGGAGCGCGATGGAGGACCGCGGAGCAGCTGGGCGCCGCCGGTCGCGGTTGGGCCGCGCGCAGAGCGCGCTCGGTTTGCTCGGGAGGTGTTGGTTAGAATGGGGTGCGGATCTGCGCCCCCAGCCATCCTGAGCGTGCAGCACCCCTTCAGCACACAGATAACGAGGTGTGGGCAAGAATTCAGGAAGGTCAGAATGCAATTAATGGAACTGGAATTAATGCCAGCTGAAATGTGCCACAGTTGGATGCAGCTTGCCGCTGAAAGTCCCATCACAGTGCAGGATTTTACACGCTGCTGCCCCTCTCAGAGCTCTCAGAAGCACAATCTCTGTTCCCAGCAGCAGCAGCATTGCACTCCCAGTACCACCAGTACCAACCACCAGTACTGCAGAGCCCACACCTGTGTGTCCTGCTGTGCTGCACAGCCACCCCTGCTTGCAGGTCCCCCTCCTTCCCGTCCTCCATTCCTCCAAGGGATCACCCACCCTCTTGCTGGGCAGGAGGAAGAAGCCAAATCTCTAGTTAAATAAAGCTTTCAACCTCCTGTCTTCAAAACAAACACTGCATTGTGGACACCAAGCTCCTTAGGTAAAGCCTAAGGTCTCAAATCCAAAAGATACACCGTGTCCCTTTAATAATTTCATAGTGGAAACCCTTTATTTGCCCATTCCTATGGTGTCATGGAGTTTTTCAATGATTCTGGTTTAGGTTTCGGGATTAGGTGAAACCAGAGTGCCTTAAACCTCTTTAGAGGTTTGGGATTAGGTGTGCAGCCGGCCTACTATAGCCTTTCTGTGCAAGTCTAAATTAAATGGCAAGAATATTTGTTGTGCACCGATTCACAGGTGTTTGGCAAAATACCAGAAAACATAAAGGAACCACTGGAAGAATCATGAAGGCAAAGCCACAGAAACATGAGTATTAGCTAAGAACTGCAGTATCACTTGCAACTGGGGGGTATTTCAGGCTGCTTCTAAGTGAATTTAAGGGTGGATATAATTTTTATGTGTGTCCCTCACGTGAATGTGAGTAAATTGAGGATCTGTCATGCAAATGGATCAAGGGTTTTTATTTGAGTATCACATTCTGGTGCTCGCTGCCTTTTTTATAGCAGATGTATATTAAAGTTCATCAAACAGCTGATAGCACTGAAGCTCTATTGTTTTATCGTACACATAAATTCTACTTCTCTGAGGCATGCATTGCCCTGACAGCGTATGTTAGGTCATGAGGAGAGAAGCACAACAGATTTATGTCTGTTATTAAAACTCCACCCTGTCTGGGTCAGAAGGCAGAGACATTTACCTCATTGATGACCATGGACTAATTGGAGGAGATAGTTTCGTTGTGTAGGCTGTCTACTGTGAAGCCTTTCAGCAGCTTTGCAGTAAATATCGCTCAGGATATTTCTCCATGCTCAGCCCCATACTAGCAAAGCCTGACTGACTGGCCATACCCCTAACATGCAGGCTGAGGTGAGCAGATTTCATCAAGCGGGATGGAGAGCAGCTCAGCACTACAGCGTCAGGATCTCTGCAGAATGCAGCAGCTGGCTTAATTGCATTCGTAAGGAAAAGCTGCATTTCAGATGCCTGGCTCTGTGATGCCCTGGTATCCAGAGGAGCAGGATAAACACTTAGAGTGAGGCAATGCACAGAGCCCAGTGGGTTGGCTCCTACAGCTGTCCAAAATTAGTTAATCCTTGAGCATAGCTACCTCCTCACATTACTAATTTATTTCACTTGTGATGTGCCTGCCAGCCCCCTCCAAAGATCTGTATTTTGAATGCATCTCTCCCCAAATAACTGGTTTTTAATTGCAACTTGCCTGTATTTAGAAAGTCAACTACATCTCAGAATTCCAGGGTTTCTCTGGTGTGCTTTTTTTTACATGCCAACAGTCAGTTCTCTTGAAGGCAGTGTTTCTGGATTCATGTGGCCAATCTTCTCATTAACAATGCACACAGCCAGACTGTATCTTCTCAAGGCTGCTTGCAAAATCAAAACAGAAATAGTTCATTTTCAAAAGAATATCTCTGCTCTAATCAAATGAACTGTAGGCTGAAGTAGGAGGGAGGCAAACTGGAAGGATTTAACAATCTTAGAATCTGTATAAAACATTATTTACAGCTTAAGATCTACATGAGGCTTGAGTTTTTAATAGAAGTTCTTCCCATTCTTAATGGTGCATGTAAGGGAGAACAAGAGAGAAATGTTACCAGTCAAGGACAAAACCATAAAAGAGCAAGCAGCAGGAGAATGACATGAAAGTATTAGGGATGAAGGGAGGCTGAGTGGGAGTTCGTCTTCATACATGATTGATCCATACTTAAAAAGAAAAAAGACACTATTCTCATCCTTAAATGAAATGGCAGCCAGGAATCTCATATTTCTCACACCCCTGAACCTCACATCCCCCGAACCTCTAGGCGGGAAACGGAGGAGCAAACTCCCCCCAACTCAAAGGGCAAGTCCAGCATCAACTCCTGGGACTGAACGTGTACAAGTCTAGTGTACAGAAGACGCACATCCCAGGGACCTGAGGGACCCGGCTGACATGGGTGCCAAACCACTCTGTCATATCTGAAAAGTCGTGGCTGTCACGCAAAGTCCCCGGGATCTGGAAAAAGGGAAACATCACTGCCATTTACGAGGACGGAGGAAGGAGGACATGGGGAACTACAGGCCGGTGAGCCCCACCTCTGTGCATGGGAAGATCATGGAACAGATCCTCCTGGAAGACATGTGAAGGCACACGAGGGAGAGCAATCACACACGGAACAGACCTGCCCTGGCTGCTGGCACCCAAAAGAGCAGACCAGTCAGGCCATAAAGGCTTCAGGACAGCAAATGACATCTCATCCTATGCAGGAAGCTCATTTCCTTACACAGCTAGTGAGGAAAAACAGACTCTTAACTACATGGGAACATCCCTTCCACCTTTGCTTCTGATTCCACCGTTTCCTAGTGTAGCACACCTGCACAGCAAGCTTTGAAATTCAGAGGTGCCACCCCACAGAAGCACTGCTGTGACCTGCCTGGGAGGACCTTGCACTGATGTGGGGGTCCCATGGCAGTGATAACGGAACCGGAACAAATGGGGAACAGTGTGACATTCACATTCTCATGTGAGTTTCAGGGGCCTTGTCTGTATCTCAGGGAAATTTCTGATCACCTTTTTGAGGGAAGGGAAAGGAAGGGAAGAACCACTGCGTTCCTCAGAGACATCACTGGAAACGATCTGAAGGCATCAGCTGTACAGCACCCCACCAGACCTACCCCTGCAGCAAACCCCCTCAGGCAGAGAGTCTGGATGAGAAAGAGAGATGTTCTGGATGCAAAATCCAGATCCTCTGAAACGAGGCAGAAAAGAGGCCACAGGCCAAGCCTACATCTTTGCAAAAGCTCATATTTTTGTTAAACCTGACCAAACCTTTGATCCAAACATCAATTTTGGGGGATTCCAAGCTAGGATGAAAGCACAACAGTTTCATCCTAGCTTGAAACATAGCCTCACATCTTTGATTTCTGAGGACAGATCAGTTTTCTTTGGGCTGGGGCACAGACAGTAACAGATATCTCACCTCTAGCTGAGAGCAAAAGGCTTAAGTGGATGGATGGACAGACGGATGGACAGACACCACCAGCAGCGTGTGGTGGGATTTCATGCAACAAAATCAAACTCTCTGCCTCACCTCCTGAGCTTATCCTTTAAAGACCAGTCCTGTGCTCACAGCTGGAGTTTATGTGAGTCCTGCCTTATTAATTAAGTGTAGCCAGTGCCTTTATCCCCTGAATTCCAACAGAAGCAATTAGAAAGCAGATACTTCACACATAGCAGCTGGTCTATTTAACACCCTCCCCAAGTTATTTGCTCCCCTCCCCCAGCCAGCCCTGCTCCTCCTTTTCCCTCCTTTCACCTAATGGAGAAGGAGGGTAAAGTCAAGGTGGCAAACACAGGGGCAGTAGATAACCATTTTCTTATTAAAAATTATCTAGTGTAACACTGAAAATAGAGGGGTGTTGCTGAGGGCACGTTTCTGGGCCAGGAACTGTAACATTCAGCTAGCAGATGGGAAAAAGCCTTGGCTGTCTATTGTGTCCTCCTTAAAAGGGGATCTGTATCAAAGTAGCAGCCTTTTTTCTTCACCACGGGCTGTGGATGTCATTAGCACAAGTCTTGTTTCTATTTAATGCCAGAGTTAAGAGTCACATAAAATAGGCACAGGTGAGGGCACCAGGCCCATTAAGTTGTGCAACGTGACTCTCTGGGAATGTTTTGAATGTCCGTGTATTCATGCTTAGGAAAGTCAGTCCCATAGTCTCTCCTCCCTATTTCCCAGTCTAAATACTGCCTCAGTGATGCCATTAGACCTGTAAAAAACCCACTCAGCATCTGATATTTTCCACCACTCTCAGGGAAGATCCAGTTACCAGAAGGGCAGTCCTGCCCCTCTGTGTTACATGCAACACTGGGAGATGCTGTGGCCAAAGAGCTAAAGCCATAACAAAGTCACAGTTACAAAGTGAAATTTGCCCTTAGCAGACAGTATTCCATGCATGTAGGTACTTCCAAGAACAACTCTTGATTTAAGGCAGAAAGGCAGAGCTTTTCTGAGGGAAGTTAAGAGTTCAGTGGCTGCACAGCACTTCTGAAGCAGGGAAGTAATGCCATGTATTTCACACACAGGGGCTCTCAAGAATCACATTTCCTAGCATGTCTGGAATTTTCTAAATGTGGATTTTATAGGCAAGATAGACATCTTGTCCCAAACAGCATTATCTAGTCATGACATTGATATGAATAACATGAATATCAAAAGAGTAGACAGCCAAATTACCCCAGTGCTGTGAGATTTTTCTGGTAGATGATTTCCCACTTATCAGGCATCATGAGGACGTTTTCAGTTAGAATGTGGGGAAGATTCAGCTCCAGTTATAAACTTCCTCTCTCTTTCCTCAAAGCTCATTGGAGATGCTCCTTTTGCTGCCAGCTCCCCGGATGTTTGCCATTTTTAAATGAAATTTTCAGGAATCTTGCACCACCAACGTACTCCACAGCAGCATGATGAAGCACCTAATACTTATGTTGCAGACAGGGAGAACAAGTCAGGAGGGATTAAGTGATCTGCCCAGCTTCCCACACGACAACACAGGTGTGGCTAGACATCAAAACTCCTCACTTTGCTGTTACACTAATCTGCTTTTAAGTTTTCCTGTTAAAAAAAATAATTATCATTTCAGTAACATGTTTGGTGGTAACCAGTGTGTGCACACTCCTAATCAAGCAGACCATGGTATTTTAGAAACTCAGAGCTGGTTCGTGAGCCGGACCCTTTTCTTCACCTGGGTCCTTCCAGTGGGAGAAAAATGAAAGAGAATGGCAGCCCTTTGTAACTGCAAAGGCTTCAGCTAATGAAAGCAGAAATGGTGTTTCTTGTTTTGGCAGTTAGTAGTAAACACTGCTATTAAAACTATAATAAGATCAGTTAATATTGTACAAAATATTAGTGATGTCTGAGCATAAAATAGTGCCCTCGTCTCGTTAGTTAAAATTACAAAATGATTAACAGCCCAATTAAAAACATTCTTGTTTTTGACATGATAAATTATACTTTATCTACCTAGCTATAGATGTAATTGATTATTTTATCCGTTTGCTGTTGGCTGTCATTAAAAAAGACAGATACCATTGATTTCTGGCCTCTCTCCCACTGAGAGAAAGAACAAATCCTGCTATTAACGACAGACAGCATCATTATGAAAAAATTCCATTTGCCACTAGGCAACATAGCTGGGTTCCAGCAATTATTGTATTAGTCAAGCCGTTGAGAAGTTCCATAAAATTGAGAGTTTTTAAGGAGCATTCAACATTATTTGGCAACTTTTGTGATGTAACAATTAAAACCATGCTCCAGGCCCCAAAATGTGCAACAGACTGCCAAAATCAGATAAAACCCTAGAGGGCCCCTGACTTGCAAAGAGAAAAAAAAAACCAAAATGTTTACTTTTAGGATCAGACATTCATCAACATTTGGCTTTTGTTTCAGCCAGTGTCAGATAATAACAGCAACAGGTTTTCAGTTGACTTCTAACAGAACTCCAACCAGTTTGATGTCAGGCCTCTGAGAGTTAGCTGGGGCTGACACCAGCCTCTCCTCAGGAGAGGGAAATCTTACAGAGAGCTGGTGCTACCAACCTTGCTTAGTAGATCAGACACGCAGGAGCACTTGGCATTCCCTTTCGGAGTGAATTACATCTGTTCACTAACAGCAAATATCAGGAAATGACTGGAGAGATGTTCAAGTTATTCTTTCCTTTCCTGTCGGAGGGCTGAGCTAGGCAACACCTCAAACTGTCCTGATTCCAGGGGATTAAGCTGAAGTCTCCTGTCCATATATCCCATTAACCTGGGAGAAAACAAAAACAAAAAAAAGAAAAACAAAATAAAAGCCTACACTTTAAAACTGCTAAGGGAAGTTGCTACCAAACCAAGTTATGGCCAAGTTTACCATCTACCTGTTTCGGTATCATGTGGTGTTAAGGAATAATGATTTTTGGTATCAGGCATCTGTAGCAGAAGGTGAAGCTGGGTACAAAACACAGACCTGATCTAGCCTAACACAGACTGTAAGAATCACTTCAAGAGCATATATATCTGTGAAGAAGTTAGAAGATACTGATCTCCCTTCTCAGAATAGTGAAGTACCCACTCAGGAGGTATCCACATATCAAAAGATTTTGATGGGAGAAGGGTAGCAAAGGGAGCTGAGATCTGAACATGGGACCTAGGATACTTTTTTTTGCTGCTAGAGGGCAGGTTTTAGCACTAGCATCCTGCCAGCCTCCACCTGGAACATGCCATACCAAGTAGGACAGATGAAAAGATACAATTGAGCCTGACGTAATATGGCCTTTCATCACACTTCTTCTTGGTGAACACTAGCAATTGTTAGGGCCTGCTATTTAATAAAAGAACAAACCTAGAGCCCTAAGCAATCAATGGCTTCTACCTGATTTAAGTGGGAACAGCAGCATACAGCATTGCAGGCCAATGGCCAGCCTTATGGGCTGTACGCCATTATGGGCAGCTCTCAAATCGTGTTGCACTGCCAGGGCAAGAGCTCAGACTTGGGAGAGAAAGCATGGGAAAGAAAAGCGCCAAGTCCCGCTAAGCTCAGGAATCGGTAGATGCTGTAAGATGCAGTCACATTTTCAAGCACTTTTAACTTCCAGCTGGTGGCTGGCAATTGCTAGGGTGGGATAAGACGTGTAGCTATACAAGTGTGAACCCCTCAGTAACTAACCAGCTGCTTTACAGGAAAAACTGGCCTTCCAGTAGCAGAGGTAAAGCATGTATTGTGATAGTATTCAGTTTTCTTGTCTAAAAGAGTATTTGAGCAGTCTTTAAAGTGAAGCATTTTATGCCAGCTCAAGAACATAGGTCAGTACCTGTGAAGTGTGAAAAAGAATAACTTTATTTCTTATTCTTGAATTATGTGAGTTAGTTGAGCCACATTTTCAAGATATTAGTTTAGTGCCAGATGAAGGCTTAGGAAGTTTTTTTTTAACGTATCGTTTTTATTGGCATTAAAACTTCCGTTACTGAAATAATTATGTTGCAAGGTAGATGTGGGAAATACATTTTAGAAAGTCATCTGAAAAAAAGCAAGGTTTCTAATATTTTTCTCCGTCACTTTGGCTTACAGTTCATCTGAGCCGCCATTCAGGAAAATGCAAACCCCAGCCCAGAGGGACAAAAAGGAGAGGGTGGAGCACATTGATAATACAGCATGTTGGGTATTACTGAGAACGACGCATGTGTTGGGAGAAATAAGTTGAAAATTTGGGCATTTTGGATCAAGGGCTGTGCAGAAGCTAAACTCCCTGATTAACTCCTCACAGACTACTCCTGCAGTTCCTCTACAGAGTGCTGGAACAAGTCTCTACAATTCAAGCAGGTTCTGTGCCAGCCTGTGCTGTTCAGGCTGTAGTTTGTAGGCGCTTGCATCTTCCCCAGTTGTGCCAGCTGGCTGGTGCTGCTGTTCAGAAGGATGCCAGATGGCTAACGCTTTAACCAGCCTGGTTTCCAAGTGACCCATTTTTATAAGCTGCCACTTTAATTAAAAGAAAACGTACAAGAAAAAGAAATCTATCACCTGCAACAGATACTGCTGGATGCCTCTCTGGCAGTGGGTGCACAGACTTCTCTTCCACATCACAAGTATCAAGAGGAAAAAAAAATCACCCCATCTGCTAAAGCTGTTAGGCCCTTTGAGCTGCAATGTACCAATTCCTGTTTACAGGACCCAGTGCCCCCTGCTGAAAAGAACAAAAAAGAGCATCAGTGCTTCCCAGGCCCTGCAGTTACTGTTAAGGTACAGCAGTGTTAGGCTCCAACGGCCGGCAGGCTGGCAGCCTCCCTCTCCCGTGCACACACACACACGCACCCACCGGCCCATCTGCCAACAGCGTTTCCAGGTTATTGCAAAACAACACATGGAAAGTATCGAGGAACTTGCAATGGCTACGGAGCCGTCATAAGAGTAACATTTCACTTTCTGGAGGGGGAAATGCATGTGGACATATGGTAGTCGTGAAAGGAGTTGGACGAGTAACCTTGGCAGGCTGAAGTCGAACAGAAACGTTGCTGCTTTGCCTTGATCTCCATTTACAATAAACGCCTCGGCTTCAGCTCGGCGTTTTATCTGCGAGCAGCCGCCGGCATTTCTGTGTCCGCGTTCCGTCTCATTGCTGCTCTGACATATTTACACGCAGGCCGCGGCCCGGGCAGCTGTGAGTAAGAGGCCGTATATCAAGAGAGGAAAAAGGGATGCAGAGATGAATTTTATGAAATATTTTCCGTTTTTCTTTGACTTGGTTGCGCGTTTTGCTATGGCCCATTGGGCACTCACTCAGCACTTGGACACTTTGCTCCATGAAGTCTCACCTGCATTTCTGGTTGTGTCTACGTGCCAAGCCTAGCACAGTACCTGAGACAGCCTACAGGGAAAAGGAGATTTACAAAAAGAATAAGGTGAGTAGGAGGGAAATTTCCTGCCCTTCAGCGGCGTGCGCTGCAGAAGAGAACCATATCTTGCAAGTCACCAAACAGTCTTGTCTGATTCCCACATGACACAGACTTTTGCAATTTACTTCTGACTGCCCAAACGATAGAAGTTATTTATACTAATTTGTGAAAAAAACCCAATGACATCAGTTTGCAATTTAGGAAGGTGATATCATCTCTAACTTCTTTGGGCAACAGAAAGAGTTAATGCCTTTTGTGGTGACTAATCCTCTCTTTTTTTCCCTGTGACTGACTATTATTTTAGGTGCGTTGAGTCTGCTTAAAAAGACAAGGCTTAGACATAATATTAATGATATTGTATGTGCAATAACATTAGAAAACAAACACAGATGCACCTGAGGAACCTCAAGGCATCTTCTGGCCTTTCTGGACAGACAGCACGGAGTGGCCTCCAACATTTTCACATGGAAAAACATTAACTTGCACAACACAGTTTACTTTGAGTGACCCTCTTGACTTTCAAACAATGAGAAGTCCAGACCATTGTAGAGCTGAAAACTTGTTTTGGAAGAAGAGGCCATTGTTCAACTAGTAGAAGATGGGAAAAACTAAAAGAGATCCAGAACAACAATTGGAAAGAAAAACTGGACATTTGAATGGAATATCCACTGGTGTCTTTTCTCTGGCATTGGCACCCTAACAAAGGATGTGAGAGATTTTTCCCCTTACTTTTTGCAGTGTGAAGATGGGAAGAGAGCACAATTTGTTTACTGGCCTTAAAGCCATACTAGCATTAAAATGTCACTGCATATACTTATGCAAGGCTCAGGACTGAGATGCAAGAACTACACACTCCCTTGATAGTCTACGTGAGATCCAAAACAGCATGTGAAAGTGCTTATTTCCCTCAGATGTCTGTTAAGGAGGTCTGGGAAACAGAAGCATAATTCCAATTATATCTCCTTGATACAGCCTGAAAGCTAGGTAGGCCCAGCCAGTCAGTGGCAGATTATATAGTCGTAGATGCATACAAAGTCTTGGTACAACAAGTCCCATTTCAAAGACTCGTTATGTTTGGGGTACATGTCCCATCCTAAGTGCCTTAGTGCAGGCAGAATACACTAGATGTCCTGCTGCTGCCAAATCACAGATTTTTCTTTACAACTGTGCATGCTTCAGTGGAGCTGAATCAAGTCATTTTCACCTTGGATAAAGGGCCAGGGGATCCCAGAGCCATTTAGGGAAGCACCCATCAGTACTGCTGAAGAACCTTCTCAAGAGGAACTTGGAATGCTTTTCTGTGAACAGTTTTGTTAGCTGAAGTTACAGTGAAATGGAGCAATGGGGGTTCTCTAGCAAATCCAGAGCTGAACAGGAGCCTGGCAGGATTTAAAACAGCACCAGTTTCAGTAGGTACTTGTACACCCTCTGCCATTAACACATGGTCACTACTTCAAGCTAAGATGTGGGGATTGTTTGGTGACTCACCCAAGATCACACAGATGGTGTTTGCATCAAGAATTTGACCCACCAAGCCATCTGACACCTCAGGATTGTTCACTGAGGATTAGATTGCGTTTAGGAGACCATTTTTATATATGAATGTAGGATTTGGAGCCATGAAGGAACGGTAAATTAAATAGTGAGGAATTTGTCACATCTCTGTTCAAAGCAGGCTAACATTTCATGTAAGTAATTACACACTTCAGACAGTTGCAATCATCTTCTGCACAAATAATTTAAGCTTACTTGGTCTGTTTTATTCTGATTTAAATTTTTATTGGAAATATAAATACCTATGTCGGTCACTGTATGGGAACTGCTGAGTCACGGCCTGAACCTCTGATTGATCACCT